TTGTGAACATAGACGCAAAGATCTTCAACAAAACATTAAGAACAAATGTATCCAAGGAGGCTCAAGACTTCTACACAGAAAACTACAAAAGATTGTTGAGAGAAAGTTAAAACTCTAAATTAATGGAAAGACATCCTGTGTTTATGGATGGGAAGATAATGTTTTTAAGATGGCAATATTCCCCAAAGTGATATACAGATTCAGTGCAATACTAACAATATTCCAACAGCATTATATTATTTTTTGCAGAAATGGGAAGGTTCACCTTAAAATTCATCTGGCATTATAAGACACCCAAATACTCAATCCTGAAAATGAAAAAGATAGTTGGAGCAGACACCTTCCTGATTTCAAAACTTACTACTAACCTACAGTATTCAAAACAGTATGGTAATGGCATAAAGATAGATATATAGACCAACAAAATAGAATTGAAAGCCCAGAAATACACCCATACATCTATGGTCAATTGATTTTTAACAAGAGGTGCCAAGACCCCTCAACAGGCAAAGAATAGTTTCTTCCATAAATGATGCTCAGACATCTGGCTATCCACACAGGGAAAAAAAGGAAGTTGGACCCCTACCTCACACAATACACAAAAATTACCTCAAAATGGGCCAAAGATACACATTTAAAAGCTAAAACTAGAACAGTTAGGAGAAAACATAGAGGTAAATCTTCATGGTCTTTGCTTTGGAGCTGGATTCTTAGATGTGACCAAAAAAAAGCAATAAAAGAAACAATAGATAATATGGACTTCATCAAAATGGAAACATCCGTTCACTAAAGTGAAAAGACTATGAAGAAAGTGAGAAGGCAATCTATATCATGGGAGAACATGTTTGCAAGTCACATATCTCACGGGGTCTACTGTTAGAATATACAAGAAACCCTTACAGCCCAACAACCAAATGCCAAAAAATAGAGTTTAAAAATAGGCAAAGGATCTGACTAGACATTTCACCAAAAAAGATACACAAATGTTTAACAATGCCCCGAAAAGATGTTAAGCACCT